ACTGCCCGTGGGAAGGACAAACAGGGGCGCAGCACCTCGCAGGGCTGCCAGCAGCACTGCCCTGGCACCCAGCCCCGGTTGCATGCTACACCCACTGCCACCTGGGAAGCTCCAGAGGTTTCCCACAAAGCATTTCTGAATGTTTCTGGGGTTTTTCACCCATCGAGATGAGTGACGGAGCAGTGCCCATCCCTGTGCTGCCCAGGGAGGGCTTACACCAGTGATGCTGTGGTTCCTGTCCACGAGGGCCTCCCGGAGAATCAGGCGCCCAGATGTCATCAGGTGCTGGAGACTGAGGACAAGGGTGCCAAGGAGCCTGTAACAAAATCACTGGCTTTAGCAACATTACACACAGCATCCGTGCTCTCATCTGCCCCTGGGTTTCTAAAGAAAGAGAGCACTGAGGTTTCTGGCAGTCCAAATACTCAAGAGCACTGACCCCTGTGTGCTCAGCCTGCAGAGAGCTGGGAAATAAGCCCAGAACCACAGCAATGTCGGCAGCAAATCAGGCCAAAATCTGCCCAGCCCAAAGGGGCTTCTCACTGTGGAAGGCCAATCCCTGCTCCCTGTAAGCAGTAGCAATATGCACGGAGTTCTGCAGCTCCCACCACACCTCACATTGCTGCTGGCTGGAGCCTACTGGTGTTTTGTGCCCCAGCTCCCTCCGGCAGCTGAGTGTGGGGTGAAGCAGTCTGACCTCTGCCACCAGCTCTGCTCTGCTCACCAGCAGCAGAGGTACACAGATAGATGTCAGTCTGGGCTTCTCCCATTGGACTTCTCTGCTCAGCACCATCATGTCCTGGTGACTTGCCATTGTTTATCAATTTGTCCTACTACAGTTCCTATTGACATTTCAGCCAGAGACAACTCTTCTGATCCCTTTCCCATTAGGAAAGCACCCAGTAAACACTAACTTGAAGTTCACTCACATTTTTTGCTCTGGCTTTGAGTGTCCTGCATGTGCTGTACTTATCTGTTTCCTCCACACCCTCTCTGGCAGGGATGTGATGGCTTTAAAAATGTTTGCACCATCAGCCACCCCTGTGAAGCCATCCCTGTTGATTTTCCTTCAGTTCCAACAGGCTACCAGAGCCAGCACCTTCCCTGCAGGCACACTCCTTTGCTCCCTCCATCATCACTTCCTCTGCTCTTGGGTTTCCTAACCCACTGCTGAGCTGCAGCACTGCCCGGGCCACTTAGTAGCATTATATTCTGCCTGATCATCTCAACGTAAGTCGCTGTGTTTTTGGAGGTTAAGCCCCAGTGTCATGGACACGGGGCTCAGTTCCCCTGTTCCCAGCTAGGCTGCTGGGGCCCCACTTTGCTTTTGTCCCTTGTGGGGTCTTCTCTGGACCCTCTGCACATCTCTGCACTATGCTGGCACAACAAAACCACCGCCCTTATTTCACTCCACATACAAAGTGCTGCTGCTGCAGCAGAACAACCAGCTTCATCCCTGTCCTATACCTCATATCCTGTATGCCTTCCACCAGCTTGCCAAGAAACATTTCCCTCCCCCATAATAAGCCCAACATGCCAACACCTGGAGGACCTACCTGTTACTGAATACTTTGCTGCAGTTGTACACTTTGACAGACAGCATCTCCCCCACGCCAAGCTTCCCATAGTGAGGCCAGCAGAAGAGCTGCAAGCAAGCAGAGCACAGTGGTCGCCTCTGTCTCTGCAGCACCGGGAGGCTCTGTGCAGGTGCTGGATGCAGCTGAGCTGACTTTTGCCCAGTACTGAGCATTGTGATGGAGCCCAAGTAGCACAGAGAGCACCACCAGGCCCTGCCCAGAGCACCCAGTTCCCTGCAGGCTCCCCTGGCCGTAGGAAGCTGTGAGTTAGGTTCTCTGGAAGATGCGTGGCTTCTATTCAGCTTTGTATTAGAAATATCAGGTCCTGTGGGCACCAGGAGTACATGGCAAAGCCAGCCTCAGAGAGGACAGTGTGCAAAGGGGTGTTTTGTTACAGCCATTTACAGCTCTCTCCTCCTGATGAGGAGGCTGTCTGATGGACCACAGACACCTTTTCCTGCAGGACCTCCTTTCCCCACCTCTTGAAGCCATTCAGTCTGAGCTCCTGCTGGAAGGGCAGCAGCTCCAGCTCACCTCTCCTTCCCACATCTGCAAAGTATTTCCCCGCCAGCAGCAGTCAGGACGTGCCATTTTTCCAGCCCTTCATTTTATCTCAGTGTGCACCAACCTTCATCTAAGGACTTCCCAGGGATTTCACTCCACACACAGTGATTTGCTGCTGACAGAGATACCACGCTGTGCCATTCCCAAAGCCCAGCTCACAGGAGGAGGGGACAGGGAGTGGCAAGGTCCATCCAGGCCAGAGGGGTCACAGACACAGCAGGTGAATGCAATGGAGCTCCTGCCAAACACCGCACCCTTGGGAACCCCCTCAGGATACGGCACCAGCAGAAAACCAGCTCTGCAGTGCTGTGAGGGTCATCCCACGTGCCTGCAGGCGACCGAACCTGCGAGCATGGTAATGTGCTGAAGGAGGAGGGAAGGTCTGCAAGCCAGGTTGGCCCCTGTGGCTGGGATGGAGGAAGGATGGGGAGAGGAGCGAGCTCTGCAGCACAGAGCCACAGCTTGGCTGCTGAAAGGACAAGCACTGAGCCCACTGACTCAGCATTTTGGGGAGGCCTCATTTTCTGTCCGAGCAGCCAGGCTCTCCAGAAGATGGATTAGATGAATTGCTTGCACATTACAGACACGAAGGAGCCCGAGGTAACACAGAGGACTCTGGACAGGAGATAAGAGACAGGACATCACCACCATTTCAGGCTCCAGGCACGGACTGGAGGAGCTGGACACGGATAGGAACTTAGGGAGGCTTCCTGTCGTTCCCAAGATGTGTCCCATCCCCACAGCCCACCTGCCTGACCAGGCACCCATTGAGGTGTGCTGCATCCCCATCCCCTCCCATCCCAGTGCCCCAGTCCTCACAGAACGGCTCACCTCCCCGAAGACAGCCTCCGGGCCGCAGCGGATCTTCTTTGTCTTCTGGGTGAAGCCTTGGGAAGCAGAGGGGAGGTGTGAGGCTCTGCTGGGGCTCTGCTCTGCCCCGGGCACTGCAGACCCATCCACGCCTCCCTCCCTCCCTCCCTCCCTGCCCACCTCGGAAGCTGAGCTGCACCTGCCGCTCAGCGCGGCCAGGCAGGTTGGAGAGCCGCCGGACACCAACGCTGAGCGCCATGGAGCTGAGGGCCGACGGCAGCGCCGGGCCGCACCGCCCGCTGTGACTCAATCGGCCCCGACTCACCCGGCCGGTTCGGCAGCCCGCTCCCTCCTGGCGCCCCACGGGGACACCTCGGGGCGGCTCTGGGCGCGCAGCGGGCCCGCAGGCCGCCTGGCCCGGCACACGGCTGGGCACAGCTCCCGGTCATGCGGAACTCGGGGAATTGCATCGTCCGGTGCCGCGCGGCGGTGCTGGGAGCGGGGAGCGCGGAGCCCACAGCCGTCGTGGCCGCAGGGCTGTAAGGCAGGCTGTGGAATGAGATGCTCACCGCACAAACGCGCGGCCGGCCGGCAAATTTGGTGCTTGCTCTAAGCAGGTCAGATGTCATCTGCTCCCCAGGGAGCTCGTGCAGCCTCTCTGCCTCCCAGAGCAGCAGCACCGTTTGCATTTGTCTGAAGATGGTGCCTCGGCTTTGGTGAATGAGTGCCACGCACGGCCTCAGCACGAGCTGCCTGGGTGAAGCAGCACAGCCTGCACCAGGAGGAGGAGCAGCACGAGCACAGCGTGGCACGCACAGCTCTCCCAGCCAGGAGGCTGCGCTGAGCTCCCCCTCACCCCAGGCACGCGGTGAGCCTGCATTCCAGCTACACCCAGGTGGCAGCGAAAGTCACCCCTATCAGGTCCGGCACCTGCAGTCACCTCAGCCAGCTGAGAAACGTGCTTCCAAGCTGCCTGCGTAGCTAGTGAAGACCAGTGGGTACCAAGGAAGACCTTCTGTCCTCCTCTGGAACTGACTTACATTTAAAAAGGGGAGGCAAAACGTTTCTCACTACGCGCTGTGCTGTGTCAGAACTTCAACTGCTGCTAAATTGCTCCTCTTGCCAAAGAAACCATTCATTGAAACCGAGCACTACGCAATGCTGCTGGTATTTCTTTAGCCAAACAAAGGACTGTTTACTGCTGTAAACCTCCTTCAAAGAACACCATCAAAAAAAGAGAAAGCACACTCATACGCACATCCCAGCCCCAGGTTTGTTTGTACGTGTAACAGTCAGAGAGAGCTCTGCCTACAGCTTGTGAGCAGCAGAAAGCAGAGTACAGGATGCTCTCAGCCACAGCACTGCTCGTGCCAAGTTGTAGCTCTGAGCACTCCTCCTTCTTCCATGCTTGTAACACATTTCTGTTTACACAGCCACTCAACAAGAGAGCTCACTTGGTATCTTTTAAGTGCAAGAAAACTGGGCGCTGCAGGCCAGATGATGGACTGAATAAGGTGGGAGTCCAGCTTTCTCTAGAGGGAGGAAGCTGCTGCTGTCTGTAGAACCATGGTCAAAAAAAAAAAAAGTTTGAAGGCAAAACTAACAGGTCCTTTTTGGTTCATTAGTGATCCTAGGCCCACTACCCTTCAAACTCAAGCTGCATTTTGGTGACACGATTAGACCAGCTGAGGTTGTGGAGTCACACCCAGTCTGCTTACACACAGGTTTGCAACCAATCCATTTCACAGGCTGAATCACCAGGCAGTCTTCCAATTTCTTCTCACAGCTTCCTGGTGTATCCAGAACAATGGACAAATTCCTTCCTAATTTCACAGTAAACAAACAGATCACCTCGCTGCAGGACACACATTCAGTCTGTGTGATTAACAGGTTACAGACTAATGCTGACAGACACCTTGCTCTGCTCTGCAGCTGCTCACACTCAACCCAAAATGAATCACCAGGCGAGTGCTGTAGCAAAGGTCTTCCATAAACCACATTGCTGAAACAAAGAAAAAGCCCGGAAAGAAAACAAAAGTCACACATGTCTGTAAATCAAAGCAGATGATTTATTTATGCAACTCAAAGTGATGACAACTTGTAGTGCAAGTTCCTTCATTTTGAAATGAATTACCTCCAGTCTCAAAGAAATCACGCTTTGCTATCATCTGTCTACTTACAACCCCAAACCATGTAGTAATACACGCTTCACACTTGTGAGGACAAGGAACTACTTCCTCATAGTTCCACAGATAATTACTTCTTCACTTTATACCACTGGCACTCCAGGGAAATCACTCAAAGCATCTTAATTCCAATGTTTCCAATTACTGGCTTCTGAAAGTCACATACCTCATTAATTGCCCCCCCCCAAATAAGCAAAGTGCAGCACTCTTAAATTGCAACAATGGCTCCAAGCAAAAGGCCATCATAGTATTACATTCTGCTAATAGAAAAACGTGATAATAAAAATACAATGATTACTAAGTATGGTAACAGAAATTTAAAAATAAATGTCTACATATAAAAATATACTGACACTTTATGAAGGCACAGCAGGAACTGCCTCAGGCGTCCAACCAAGAGACTTTGGCACTGTAGCAATCAGAAAGATGAACGCAGTGAAATGGTGATACAGGAAATGTGATGACAAAGGGACGAGCAGGATGGAAAGGTGGTACAGAGCAAAAAGGAAAGTGCTCACCTGTCTCTGAACATCTAGGCTCACAGGGGAAAGCTCCACAAGGATCTCCAACCAGAGATCCTTCCCCAATGGCAGCCAGCCCTCAAATGAGGTCTAAGAGAGGTGCAGCCAAGCTCTACCCCTTTTGGTCCCACAGCTGAATTGCCTTAATCTGTGCTCCCAGGGCTGATCAGATCTTTTCCCCAGGTGCTCAATCAGTGGTTCAGACCATACAGGTACCAACCAGTACAGAAGTGTCTCCAATTCCAGGGCAAACAGACAGGAGAAAAGAACTACCAAGGAACAAATATATGATAAATATCTTTATAATAAATACGTTTATCCTAACTAACACTGGAAGCAGTGCTGTGTGAGCATTTCCATGCAGATGCCCACCCTGACACCAAGCAGCAGGTGGGTCATGCCAAGTGATGAGGAGTGGCATGAAGTGTCACCACTGCAAGGTGGAAAACCAACAATGTCTATTTTTCTTTGACAAGAACTGCCAACAGTTTGTTTTTTTTTTTTCATATTTACATTTCTTCCAGTTAGGAACAGGAAATATAAAAGATAGAGTACAAGTGGGTAAGAGTTAGTGTGACTGATACAATCTTGAGGCACTGAACACCCCAGGGAAGAATGTGAGTGCAGGCAGCTCTCCTCATCCCAGTGATACGTATGGCTGGAGTGAGGCTGGAATCTACATCTTCTTTATTTCTGGCAGTTTCACAGGTGGCCAGCCCTGCAGTTTATAGTATGACACCAGCTGCTTCGGCACTTCAGCCAGAACCACCTGGGAAAGAGCTTCCCGGGGAGCCTGCAAGGAACAGCAAGAATAAATCAAAGGTACTGCAGGGAGAAGAAATACCACAGCAGTGACATACTCTCTTCAAGAATTCAGTCTGCAAACCCCACCTGCCAGGCATGTGAGGCTGAGTTCAAGAGCTCCTTACTGCGGACTCAGGAGCACTTCCAGTCAGCCTTGGTGAGATCTGCTGCTGAAAAATCACGTGTTCCCAACTCTGCACTGCTCCCATACAGCCCTGATCTGGGTGGGAAGCTGCTCCAGCCATGGCAGTATCTTATTTTGGCTTTCACTGAACAACATGCATGAACACCAGTGCCAGAAGAAAAAGTAGGGAGGAGCTGGGGAATGACAGGACTGTTTTCAATAGCAGGGAAGATTTATCTCAGTTTAAATCACTCATGGAAGCACTCATGGGACTCAACAACAGAGACTGAGACAGTATGATCTCATTTCCTTTCCTAAATGTTTGCATCCCAGGAGAGAAAGCTTCTTCTTTACTCAAACTCTGCAACAGCCAAGAGATGTTATCAATGATACAATGAAAACTCTTTAGGTAAAGCTGCAAGAGTGCCGCAGCAAGGCACACAGATTTGAACACAGAAGCGTGTCTCAGCTCTCCCTGGGAACAAGCTATTTGGGAAGTCCAGCCATACGTACATCAGACACATGCTAATTTTTGTTGTTGTAATAACTGCATATGTATTGGACAGCAGAACCCCCCTGAAAATCAACACAACTTACATTTCTGAACTGTCGGAAAGGCACAAACTGAACAATATCCCGTGCAGCTGGCTCTCCTGTTAGGGATTTCAGGACACCATTGTCCCCATCAAGAAACTCCATTGCCTTAAAATCAGCTTCACCAACTCCAACAATAATGATGGACATCGGCAGCTTAGAGGCATTAACAATTGCTTGCCTAGTTTGGTCCAGATCAGTGATCTCTCCATCTGTGATGATCAGCAAGACAAAGTATTGCTGAAAAACATGAGAAAGTACTCAGTTTGGAAGTTCAGCATCAAACCTCACACAACTGGAGGCAAAAGGAGCAACTTCTGACTCTAAAAAAGCAAGCAGACTGTGCAGTGAATAAGACAAAAACAAAAAATTAAAGTTCCTTTTTCTATATGCATACCACCTCTCCTTGTGCACGTCAGATTTCCTCTGTTAGATAAAAGATAGAAGCTTAAATTCAATCTATAAAAAAAACAATTACACCAAAAAGCAGAAAATACTAGCAATGAACAAAGTACTACCAAGTCAACAAAGCTGCATGCAGCACGCAATGCTGGATGCTGCTTCACTCACTTCAAAAAAGGATAAAATTTATTATTAAATATTTGTAACTCCAAGAAGTCAGTTTGGATGGGACCCTGGGCAGTGAACTGGTGAGTGGCAAACAGCCCATGGCAGGGATTGGGGCTGGGTGAGCTCTGAGGTCCCTTAAAACCTAATCCATTCTGTGACTGTATATTTTTAATTATCAGTAATCTAAGTGGTAACTATTAGAAATCTGAACATATAGCAGCAGCAAATGTCACAACACAGAGACACTCCAGAGGGGACACAGAAGGGAAAGAACACAGGAGTTTTTCTAGAAGAAAAAAATACTCTAAGCCACAACAATGGCAAGATAAAGCATTTAAAAATCCCTGTCCTTTCCAGAGACTAACATTCAGAGCCTGACTGAAAACCGCAAGCACTGTTTTATAGCAACTGTCTACAGACCTAAGATGAAAACAAACATATCAGAGACTTAGAATGGAAATTCAACTTTCAATTCCAAAAGCCAGTTAATACAAGTTTGCTGTGATTGCACTCATTACTGACATATCCTTTACTTAAATAACTTTTCATCTGTAAGAAGTAGATACAGTCAACATATTAATAAAAAAACAGAGGTTTCCCCCAAGGGTTTGGGTATCTAAAAAAAAAAAAAAAAAACACACCAAACCAAAACCACCAATGCCCTTAGAAATGTCAGAAGAGTATTCCCCTAGAACAAGAACCTCAATCTTGTACTTAAGTCAAAATCAAAATCCTGATACAGCTAGCCCAGAAGGTGAGTATCAGAGCATACATCAGAATTCCTTCTAACTAGATAGTCAGAATAGAATCAGCTAAACGTATCAGGAAATAAGCCATTATGCACAACAAATTAAGTTTTAAGAGATAGAGTTGAATTTTAACAGCAGCCACGGCCACACAAGCACATAAACAAGATATGCAGTGCAGCTGCAGAAGCAAGCATGGCCATTCTGCAACACAGCATGCTGATATGCCAGCTCTCCAACTGCTCTGTTAGCATGGCCCTCTGGATATCCTGATTCTCCGTGCAAACATGGTGGGACAAGCAGGCAACCTCTGACATTTTTCAGTACTTCTTTGTGAACATTCTTGAGTGCAAAATTGCTTGGAATAAAACTACAGGGCCCCTTTATTCTGCATGCATACTCTACAGGTGACAGAACCTGGCAAAAGAGGTTAGGGTAATACAGCTGCTGACAAAGTCCAGTTGGTCTAAAAGCCAACACAGCACCCCTGTATACTATGTTGGTAAAGGCTCATATCAATGTCTACTTATCAACCAAGAGAGTATGAAGAGTCTCTCTGGAGGTTGGAAAGAAAAGACCTTGAGGAAGGAGGAAGAAATCACTTAACCATTCCACTCTATCCCATCATGAACAGAAAAACAGAAACATCACCCAGATGCAGATCCAAAGGCAGGGACGTGGACTCACAGAAGCAGTCCTTTGTTGTGCCGAGTGTGCAGCAAACCTTGCCACGTGGTTTATAATAGGAGAGAAGTTGGTTGGCCCATAGAGTCGGATCTGAGGAAGGATCTGGCGATAGGCATCAACTATTCCTTGGATCCCTGTAACACAAGGAAGGCAAGCTGCCTCACCATTTCTCCTGTAATTATTTAAATCATTACTAAATAGTATGGTAAAGGATAAATTATTCACGCTGGTGCGAACTCCTAAAGGACAAAACAAACAGATAACAGTGACTGTACGAAGCACAGAGCTGAAACCAGTGGACATCTGCAGAGACAAGATTTCCAGATTTCTCCCTTGCTCTACATTCTTTATGTTACTCTTAGTGACTCTAACAAAATAAAAGTAATGGAAGCTGGACGGAAGTAATCCAGCAGATGCATGCTGGTGATATTGTCCCTTCTTCTTTGTCATTCAGTTTCTTTTAAATGATTGTATTCTAATTAACAAGGTCACAAACTCTCTGGAACAGTTATTGCTTATTTTCCTCATGTGCAAGATGGACAACAGTTCCTGGATTTCAATGTTTTGTGTTATTTTTAAACAGAAAAACGAGTCCACAAGGTTCCTCCTATGCAACAAGTTCCTCTCACTACTTAACTAATCAAAATTTTAGAAGTCTGATTTTTGATGGTTTCAATTCTTGTGTGGGTTCATTTAAATTGCCCCACATACTGGCTTATAGTGATGCATTTTTATTTGCCATTGCCCACCATACAGGTTTCAGTGCTTTATTTCTATTGAACTACTGCAACAAGTACTGCCACAGGGCAACAACACAGATGGCAGTGAGGTGGGCAATGTGGAATTGAGCAGGGAAATGCTTCCATTTTAACACTGATTCTCAGATTCCATTTTTTATTGGCCTTAAACTAGACAGAAAACATGAGGAGAACTCTTTATTCAAGAATTCCACATCACTGCTTGCCAAGAGAGTGCTTAGGAGTTCCAAATCTAGTTTACAGACAAGCCACTAAAACCAGCTGAAATAGCTACCACAGAAGAATGGGGCTTTGAGGGAAATGAACACTTGAGACAATCCTTTAAAAATAACAGAAGAACACTGATAATACTGAAGTAGCTGCCACTGTCACTAACAGCCTAAGCACATAGTAGCTTCAGAAGTGTGACTAACACAGACACACTGCTACCCATAACATAACAAGAAATAACCAAGTAGCAACAACAAAAATTTAAGCAGACTAACAGAATCACAGGTTGGCTGAGTTTTGAAGGGACCTCTGGAGAACATCTCAACCAAATCCCCTTCTCTAACAGGGCCACCTACAGCCAGTAGCCCAGGCCCATGCCCATGACTTTTGAAGGTCTCCAAGGTCTTGGAAACCTCTCTGGGCAACGTGCTTCAGTGCTCTATCACCCACACAGTACAGAGGTGCTTCCTGATGTTTAGAACCCCACACATCCCAGCTCTCTCCATCTCCAACAATCAAACTTAACCTAGACTGTTTCACTGGAAGCCTGCATCGACAGATCTTCACATTCAGGTGAGAGTACACGTAGTTTGGTGGATGTCTTCACACTGCATCTGTTGCATGTTGGTTTTGTTTTTTTGTTGTTTTTTTTTTTTTTTTTAACCAGTTATGAAAGGAATGAACACTTCAAACATCGGTCCCTCTCAGTGAAATATTAATAAAGAGGTGTCCTCACCTTGACAATAAGGGTTGTCGGGATTGAAGTTCAAAGCAAACTCATGAGACACCTAGAAACGGTGATGTTACAACCAGTTAGAGAATGCAAACATTAAAAGACCTACTGCACAGTGCTGTGAAGGCCTTACCTGCCAGCTAGGAGGAACCTGAGCTCCAAAACCAAATGCAGGAAACAGCCTGTCCCTTGGGAAAAAGGGCAACAAGAAGAAATGAGAAAGAGAAATCCTGTAATATTTTACTAATTCTGTTTTATTCCCAGAAAAAGTTGTAGACCAAGGTTCAATTCCTGCCATTAGGGACAGGTACACCACCTAGTTTTCCCATAGTCAGTAAATAGTTACCCAAGGATTTCAGGCATGGGACTGACAATTTCACAATGTCTTTGAATGCAGTAGGCTGCATAACTCTTAGGAAATCTCAGAGTAGCAAGAGAAAAGCCAACCCAGTCACAGCTTGGCTGAAGGACAGAGCAGGCAAACACGTTCCCGTGGAGTCTAACAGGGAATTCATGTTTGAGATGCACTGCTACCAAGAAGGGACTACAACCAGCTGAAGCAGAATTACAGAGTAACCCAGCACAATAAATGTGTAGATCTGGATGGACAAATAAAGCAAACAAGCTTTATTAAAAAGGATTGTCATTGCCTTTTTTTGGTAAGCAGCAAGCAGCAGCAGCAGTTCCTGAAGGATCTCCCAAGGAAAAGCAGCAGCACCTCCAAATACTACAGCTCCAGAATGAGCTATCAGCCTTGACCAGTGACCCACTGCGAAACATTTTTTATTGAGGGGGCTAGGAGAGTTAAGAACCTCTTACATACGTGTCATAATCCTGGACTACACTTCCCACACTCCAGATGGCAATCAAGTACTCATTTATCCCATCTGGGCTGATGTAGTGAAGAGAATCTGGTGAGTTGGGATCACCATTGGAGCCAGTGAAGTCTATGCCCACCTAATCAGTTTGGAGAATGATAAAAGCAGGTCAATGAGACAGCATCATAAGCAAATGAGAAGTACCAAAAACAATCAGAAACAGAGGGATAAGAACAGCCCCACACTGCTCCCTCCCTGCCAGACACAAAGATGACTGCAAACAGAGGCAGGCAAACAAGCCTGCACATTTTCTCCCACCAGGGCACACGCACATCTGAGGAGCAGCAGTCCTTTCCACCAAGGCTGGGAATTGATTTCTCAAAAGAAGCTTGAGAAATTCAAGATCCATTAAATTTGCTACTTGATATCAAAAAGCAAAATATAAAATCAATTCTTTTTGGCAGCTTTCATTACTCCTGAAGAAAACACGTACTGCAAATTAAAAGTACTAAACACAACTTCATTGTCTTGTTCTATCATCTACCAAGATGTGAAGTGGGGTAACAACTCACTGTAAAATTAATCTGGCAGCCTCCCATCACATAGTCCAGGAACGAATAGTCTGTTTCAATCTAGAGGAACAGACAGACAGTGTTACACCTCCTTCCTGTAAGGATAGATTTCCTGATCATCAGAAAATAGAAAAAGACAAACAACAACCACCTTCCTACCTTGCAAGATTTTATGCTAATAATGCCCGAGTTTTTGTAGCTCTTTTTCTTTTGTTTCTTCTCAGGATGAATGCATTCAAATTCCACCTACATAAAGAAAGCACTCAATAAGCAAATTATAAAACTGTCTTGCAGCAGTGCAAACTATTGAAATAGAACAGTGTGAGACATCACAATTTCAGAGTATTATGAAACTTCATTTTAAAAGTGTTTGTGATAATGTGGCTGCTATTTGACAAGTTAAATTGATGCTTTTGCTGTCATCATTGGGCAAAGCACATGAGAGAATATTTCAAAGAAGTGCCTCTCTGTGACAGCCCGACTCTTGCTCTCTCCAGAATCACTGAACACTTAGCAGAGGGCAAAGAAGTTTGTCACAAATACAAACATTTCTCTTAACTGAAAAAAAACGCAGGTATGTTAAGGCAGGAAAGGAACTCAGAAGCTAAGGAGGCAAAGTGAGAAGGGGGAGAGAAGGAGGTCAAAAAGCCCTAGGTCTCAGGTTCTCAGTGGCAGAGGGATCAGTATTCTGGTATCACTGTCTTGTTTCACTTAACAGTAGTTCTGATTTCACATGGGTTAGGGAAGAATTTTCCACAAGCTTTAGGATTCCAAATACAGAAATCAAATTGGCTGGTGACTCCTAGCACTCCCAGGCTATGTCCTGCACGTGGATTCATTAGTCTGAATCCAGATGAGACCTATCCACGAAAATGAGTGTACAGGCTTTTGCTGTAGACAGAGAGAAATTGGCACCGCTAGCAAATGACTCAAATTACTCTAAAACGGATGCCCAAGATAAAGCAAGAAGAACAACTGCTGGAAGCACCATTTCTTTCCACTGTCTAGAAAGCTACCTAGAAATGCAACCTGAGTGCTGGTGAGGGCGACCAGCTCAGGCACACATGTTACCTGAGACAAGTCCTACCTCTGAACTGTTCTGTTGAAGCTCTTTTAAAGAAGCTCTTTTGCTTCCACTTGATTCTGCAGAGGCAAAAGCATGCAGAATGGCTGGCGAGAAACAGCACGTGGCCAGCAGACAACAGGCTGAAGGACATCTGTAGGAACAGGAAGGGTAACAGCACCCAAAGAAAACAGCAGCAACCTCCCCATGCCAGGTTTTATTTTTCCCAGATAACAGCTTAGTAATACAGTCAAGTACAGAAAAAAAAATGACTTTTAGAAGCAACAACTGAAAATCCCTCAGACATCTTTATTAGAAAGGGTTTGTGACAGACTGAATTACAGACAAAACTGAGGAACAAAAGAAGCTCACCGGACAGCCGTCCACTGCTTTCTGCAGCTGAGCCAGGTTAGTTTCAAAAACACCTATCAAGTCATGCGACCCATCACTGTCATGATCAGAGCACTGCACCTGAAAGGAAAGAGACAGCAAGAAATGGGTAAGCATACTGTTTTAGGGTGAATGACAGCTGCTCACCAAGCAATCTCCTGCCTCCAACAGCTCTGCAGTGATGCTAGCGAATCTCCCTATCAGATCTGATCCGGTGGCATCCATATCACTACCTGAAACTTGACAGAGGGAGACACACTGCGTGCATCTCAGAACAAGGAAGACATTCAATCACTCACCTGCTTGAGCGTGCAAAGTGACAGCTTTCCTCAGTTCAAACAAAAACAAAACAAACAAAAAAAATCAACAAAATAAAGCCGCAGATTTCACGGCCCAAAAATACAAAGTTGAGATCATTCAGGACACAATATGCAAGTGGAGTAATGGGGAAAAAGCACCAAAAGGTCTTACTTAATTTCTGAATAAACTTCTTTCTTCTGCCTGGCAACAGAATCAGTTTGCAAAGAAACTGCAATTTGCCTTTTTCTGCATCTTATAGCAATCAAATTACAAACAGTGAATAGCCAGTCACGTTTAAAATAGTGTGTAAGCTTGAATCTTCAGAACTAGAGAATGCAAAATAGCAATGCATTTAAAAACAAAAAATATGATAATAACTATGGCTTCAAGCTAACACAGCACGATGTGCATTGGCAACAGCTCTCATGAAATCAACAACTGTAAGAAGCATTTATAACATGCACAATGCACACGACAGCAGAATAAAAGTAATTCCAGAAGCAGTCAGTCAAGGAAGCTTCTGAACAGCAGTATTTCCTCTGCTCAAGCTCACACACTGCTCCAATTCAAAAGCCCATTCAGAATTGCTTTTATTAACCAAGAAACTGGTGTTACCCCAATACAAACCAGGGTGACAGCTTTCTCCTCAGCATCATGGATAAGGTGAACCTACAGGCAATGCCTAGATAAGGAAGTAAAATTCAAGCAGCAAATCTGAGGACAGGGTTCTTGGATCAAAGGCAGCAGGTAGTTGTCCATTTGGGATCTTCCACTGCTATCAGTGGGAAATGTGCACAAAAACTGAGTGAACTTCAGACAGAGCTAGCCACCCAAACTGGAGGCACCATGCCATCCTTCAGGTTCTTCACTGGGAAAACAAAACTGCTTTAGAGATTGTGCCGTTCTTCTCCTTCTTTGTCCATCCCAACCCACCACTGCTCCGTCCCTCCCTTCTGCACGCTATGCCATGAAGCATCCCCAAGCCTCCTCCTCTGCCTCTCTCAACAACTCTAGTGCTTAAAGTCAAGAGATATCAGTCAAAAGATATCTGACCACATCAAGAAGATACTTGTTGAAGAGACTGCAAGGTTTACACTGAGTTTGCAACAGAAGCTGCTCATTCACCCCTGTATAGCCCCGCCCACGACCATGGTAGGGTCAATATGTTAACTAATCAACAGATAAATCAAGTTCTTAGAATTGTCAAGGTAAGAATGGATAAGAAATGAGTACTGAAATACTTGAGTGGAGATTTTGGCCTTTAGGTAAGAGCAGGTGCACGTGTTCTTTCAGAATTAAGGAAAAAAGAACTGAGATTACCTGAGGCATGAAGAACAAGGACAATATATTATGGAAGGAACTGAAAGAGACGATGAGCACATTGTTATCCCCCTCTTTGCTATGTAGTCATCCTTGAAAAAGTGTATAAATACCCTGTGTGTATGTTGGATCTGTGGACACTTGCTAGAAGTGACCCGACCCTGCTGCTGTAGCAGAGTCTGATCTAATAAAGCTCCTTGATGAACAGCTGAGTTCGAGTCTCACTACAATCCCGTCTCCAACGGTTTGGCACCCCAGGTGGGACATCAGGAGCATTGATTAGGTGAGTACCCTGAAGAGCTGAACTGATGAGTGGTGGATCGTAGGTTCGAGTCCTACTTTCTAAGCAACAAGAGGGTTTGAGTCCCTCAAGAACACTTCTCAGGCTGCTCTTATCAGGACCTTTTATATCTTCTTGGTAAATAGTTATGGGAGGAACTCCCTCGATATCAAAGGGATCTCCCTTAGAAGAATTATTAAGTAATTGGAGACAATTGGAAGGTACAGCCAGATTATCACGAAAGCGCGCAGTAACTTTGTGTCAAGATGACTGGCCGTTCTTAACCCGGGTTCCTGGGGCAGGTCCCGACGAAGTATGGCCAGCAGAGGGTTCGTTTCAGGAAAAGAGACTGATTACACTTAGAAAAATCTTGCAAGACAGAAATCCTTACCAAATGAACTATTTATTTTTATGGATTAATTGGGCAGATAAAAGGAAGAAAGTAAAAATCCAAAAGGTCGCAAATAAACAAGAGCTCTTAGCATATTTTGACGAGATTATAAAGGAACATGAAGAAGGGAAGATAACTAAAGGAGAGTCTAAAAGTGTTAGTGAGGAAGCAGGGCAATTTCCAACGGTCATGGAATTTCACTCCAATCCACGGGTAGGACCTAATACAGCAGCCAACGTACCACCTTTAGTGGCTGTATCGGTTCATCAGCCTTGGAAACCAGGGGATCTATTGCTTTGGCAAGAGAGGTTCCCAAGATTGAGAGATGATGCCGAAAAATGTGCAAAGATGCTGTCAAGCATCATTCGAGATTATAAACCTAGTTGGGAAGATATGCAAACCCTATTGCAGGAATTGTTTACCACTGAGGAGCAAGAAAGAATTTTGGCCAAAGATAGGGAACTGTCTAATAATCAGCAGGGCAGACTGACTTGGCCAGTACAGGACCCTAACTGGGCAATACATACCCACGATGGAATGGAGGCTTGGAAATCTGCCACTAATGGTTTGTTAGAAGCCATCCGAGCATGCGAAGAGAAGGTTACTAACTGGGCAAGAGTACAAGAGTGTCAGCAAAGACTAGATGAGCACTCGAGCGATTACTGGCAGAGGCTGCGAGCAACCTTGATCCAGTATGGAGGAATGACAGAGCAGACTTTTCAGGAACCATTAGCTATCAGCGTGTTTGTAAATCAGGCCGCTCCAGGTATCAGTAAGTACTTTAAGAAACACATGCCAGGATGGCAAGGGGAAAATTTGCAGGAGATACTTTCAGTAGCCAGTTTTGTATATAACGGGCGAGATCAGGAGAAGAAAGTAAGACTAGAAAGGGAAAAGGAAGAAGAGAAGAAAAGATTAGAAAAACAACTAGAGAGGCGGAGGGAGAGACAAGAGAAACGAGAAGATATGGCCTTTTTAGCTGCAGCGACAGTGCAAGGAAATCAACATAGGGCTGTGAGGGGAAGAGGTTTGATAAGGGGGAGAGGACGTGGATACCCACAGAATCAGCAAAATAGGATACCACCTGGGGAGAAAGAGTGCTATTTTTGCGGAAACTTAGGTCACATGCAGCGAGAATGCCCACTGAGACCACCACCTTTTCTCTCCCCACAAGGTCAGCCCACGCTCGAGTTTCCAAACCAACAGCGAATGAACTTAGCCTTACCACCTGCTCTGAGGAGATGGCAATCACAGTGAAATGGCGGTGGTTTTATCACCTGAAGGTCATGTAACTGCTGAGGTTAATGGAAAACCTGTAACCTTTCTCGTAGATACCGGGGCCACTTTAAGTCTTTTAAATTTTGATGTACCTGAGAAGTCACTAGAGACAGTGATGATTAAGGGAGTTTCAGGGATGGAGGAAAAAGTTTTAACCAAACCTTTACCTATACTATTATTTAACCGTTTGACTTGGGTACAATTTGTAATTTCCCCTACTTCCCCAATTTCACTGTTGGGAAGAGATGTGTTACGAGAATTAGGAACTAAATTGGACTTGAACTCTAAAACCACGAAATTATATTTTTGGGGGAATGTTTTTGCGGTTGAGAAAGAACCCAAACAGAAACAGGAAATACCCGTGGAATTGAAGGAAATACCCAAGGAATTCTGGAGTCGCAATAGTCAGGGCGTTGGATTCCTGAAATCAGCGAAACCTGTAGAGATAAAAACTAAGGAGGGACCCCCTCCTTCAGTAAAACAATATCCTGTTGTGACAGAAGCTCTACCAAGTTTGAGGAAACAAATTCAGAAGTTCGTGGATGAAGAAATATTGAGACCTGTTGTTAGTCCATATAATACTCCAATTTTGCCTGTAAATAAGAATCGGTTAGACGCCAATGGAGATCCTGAATATTGGTTTGTCCAGGATTTAAGAGCAATAAATGAGTATGTGGAAGCTCCCCATCCTGTAGTCCCTGATCTGCCTTTAATTCTGACAGAAATACCTGCATGGTCGAGATGGTATACTGTATTGGATTTAACTGGAGCCTTTTTTAGTATTCCAATTGCTCAGAACAGTCAAGCAATATTTGCCTTCACTTGGGAAGGAAAACAATTTACTTGGACCCGATTACCCCAGGGATTTACTAGTTCCCCTACTCTGTTTTCCCAAATTTTGAAGAATGATTTGAAGGATGTGGAACTTCCAGAAAAATCCACTTTAATAAAGTATGTAGATGACTTATTAATTGCAAGTGTAACTCGGGAAGCATGTGTGAAGGATACCCAATATTTGTGTCAGAAATTATATGAAAAAGGGCATAAGGTCTCCTTGTCCAAGTTGCAGTTTTGTAAGACTGAAGTTAAATATCTAGGATTCATATTGTCATTAGGGGAAAGGAAATTAGACCCGGATAGAGTAGCTGCAATACAGGAAATTGCAAGACCAGTTACTAAGAAACAGATGAGGGCCTTTTTAGGACAAGCAGGCTTCTGTCAACCATGGATCTTAGGATATAGTGAACTAATTAAGCCCCTTACAGAAACTACTAGAGAACAGGCAGTTGAACCCATACCTTGGACTGACAAGCTCCAAACAGCATTTCTTTCAGAGAAACAGGCTCTTATGTCCGCTCCAGCTTTAGGATTGCCGGACTATTCAAAACCATTCCATCTATATGTTACAGAAATGTCAGGACATGCAAAAGGAGTATTGACTCAAAAACTCGGACCTTAAGATCTACCAGTGGGATACTATTCCCTCTCTTTGGACCCTGTGATTAGGGGAACACCATACTGCATTAGGGCAGTAGCTGCCGCTGCAGAATTGGTCGAGAAAGTAAGGACACTGGTGTTGGAACACCCACTCATTGTGAAAGTACCACATGAGGTTGAAGTTCTACTGAAACAATTTGCAGAGAAATCTCTCTCTCCCCAGCAAGCCCAGTGATATGAATTGATTCTCTTATTAGCGGACAATATTAAGATCGAAAGATCAAAACCTTTGAATCCAGTGACGTTACTTCCCCACTCAGAAGGGAAAGTACCTGATCATGATTGTGTGCGAGTTCTGCAGACTGTCTCAAGACCCAGACAAGATCTTAAAGATGAACCTTTGACTGAACCACAGCTTAATTTGTTTACAGACGGCTCCAGTTACTATATAGACGGACGGCGATACACTGGATATGCAGTAACAACAGAAACAACCGTGCTGGTTGCTGAAGCGTTGCCAGGAGGGCTGGGAGCTCAGGGAGCTGAGCTCATAGCTCTCACTCAGGCTTCTCGACTCGGCAGAGGTAAGCAAGTTAATATTTACACCGATTCAAAATACGCTTTTGGGATATGTCATGCCGTAGGAACGCTATGGAAAGAAAGAGGCTTTTTGACCTCCGCTGGAAAGACCATCGCTCGTGGACAATTAATAAATGACCTATTGTCAGCAATTCAAGAACCAAGAGAAATGGCTGTAGTGTATATACAAGCGCACACAAAACGCCAAGATGCTCTAGCAAGAGGAAATCGCCTTGCAGATGCGGCTGCACGGGCTGTTGCAGTTCACTCTAATGCTGCTATGCCTGTTATGGCTATGCAAACTTTACCAATGTTGTCTGATCCTACGCAACTGTATCTGGATGTTCCAAGCATGGAAACGGAGGTATGGAAGAAAATGGGGGCAGAGTTGAGAGATGGGATCTGGATGGTAAATCAGAAGCCCTTATTGCCGAGACAGTATTTGATGGCAACGGTCCAATGGTATCATGATCGATCTCATGGGGGCCCAGAAGCAGTAGCTAACTGCATAAGTCAATTCTGGGTTGCACCAGGAGTTTTAGTGCTGCAAGGAGAATAACGTCAGGATGTGAGCTTTGTCAAAGATACGGACTCATAAAACCAAAAATCGAGTCAGGGAAAAGGCCCCCTTCACAATATCCTTTTCAGAAATTACAAATAGACTTTGCTGATATGCCAGCAGCAGCAGGGTTCAAATACATGCTTGTGATTGTGGATCATCTATCAGGATGGGTGGAAGCGTTTCCAACACGGAAAAATGATTCGAAAACTGTAGACAAAATTTTATTGAGAGATCTAATCCCTAGGTACGGAGTATCTGAAGAAATTGATTCAGATAGAGGAACTCTTCATCTGCAGCAATTTTGGCAGGGGTTTTTGCAGTCCTTAACGTTTCACTCTCATTACATACCCCATATCACCCCCAGTCGTCAGGGAAAGTAGAGAGAATGAATCGGATTATTAAAGAAAAATTAGCAAAGGTAACGGCAGAGACAGGGCTCAAATGGCCAGATGCCCTACCATTAGTTCTTTGGGATATTAGAACTACACCCCGTAATCCACTCAAAATTAGTCCAGCTGAGGTACTTTTTGGGATAGTTTTAGCAGTACCATCATCATATATACCAGCAAAAACTGCATTGTTGGAAGGAGAGGAGAACCTTACCCAATACTTGTTCTTTCGTTCATATTCAGCAGTATGCTTTCTGGTACCAGGGATTACCAGTAGATGTTAAAGTCCATAATATTTCTGTAGGAGATATGGTTATCATTATTAACTTGGGAAAGTAGTGTATAGAAAATAGGGGATCTGTTGAAGAGACTGCAAGGTTTACACTGAGTTTGCAACAGAAGCTGCTCATTCACCCCTGTATAGCCCCACCCACGACCATGGTAGGGTCAATATGTTAACTAATCAACAGATAAATCAAGTTCTTAGAATTGTCAAGGTAAGAATGGATAAGAAATGAGTACTGAAATGCTTGAGTGGAGATTTTGGCCTTTAGGTAAGAGCAGGTGCACGTGTTCTTTCAGAATTAAGGAAAAAAGAACTGAGATTACCTGAGGCATGAAGAACAACGACAATATGTTATGGAAGGAACTGAAAGAGACGATGAACACATTGTTATCCCCCTCTTTGCTATGTAGTCATCCTTGAAAAAGTGTATAAATACCCTGTGTGTATGTTGGGTCTGTGGACACTTGCTAGAAGTGACCTGACCCTGCTGTTGTAGCAGAGTCTGATCTAATAAAGCTCCTTGATGAACAGCTGAGTTCGAGTCTCACTACAATCCCGTCTCCAACAATACTACAGGTCATCATGCAGAGACTGAGGGTGTCCTTGGCACTAACATGCTGTAGAGAACACAGCAGTTCGCACCTTCCATTTCCCTTCTGCTTGTCCCTGTCCCCTCCTGACCACACACAAAAAAATCCAACTACTTACTGACCAGTTCTGTTAGTGGTTCACAGTACGAGTTAGCTTACAACAAACCTCTTTTTGCAAGGGTTTTCTAAAATGGACAAGGATCCAGAGTGCACAGCCCAAAGAGTGCTGCTGCTGCAAACAGAACCAAGATGTGAAGCGGGGAACAAACACCTGAAGCTGTCAGTAAATGCCTTCTGAATTGTGGTCTGACTTCAAGGCATCAGCCAACTGCAGAATACTGCATTGAGATTATTTACTGATTAATTACTCAACTGAACTATCAAATATTCACAGGAACACTTTCAGTGGGTAAAAGGCTCCTTTTATCTACAAGAGAAACTTCCAAAATTCACACCAAATCGATTTGCTTTTATGCATATGCCATCAAATGCATGGTCAGGAAGGGGTTTGTTTTTGTTGCACTGCTTTTTGTTCTTTTTTAAAATCTCACATTTACTACTTCTATTTAAACAGTTATAGGAGAGAGAAACTACTTTCATATGCCTCTTTCTTAAAGAAACCATCACAAGATTGTATTACGTCTCAAATCTGAGTTGTTTTTAAATATGGAACAATGACACCCCTTTACTTCACAATTACTTAAGTGTTAGTTAGCACTGTTAATGTGATCAAAAGATTTGTTTACACATGCATTTAGTGCACGTTTCCCACTGCAAAACCATCATGCATGGCTGACAAAGCTGACACTTACAAGACATACCAAACTGACACTGCCCACACGAACATTTCCCTTGTGCTGCAGTACAAAGACTTCTCTGCTCAGCAACCACCATCATTCCTCATCTTATTGCTCCTATGCAAATCTTAGAAAGCCTTGAACAAGAGGTTCCAAGCAGCACATACTGAATGGAAAACAGACCTCCAGTGCAATGTTCCACTCCTTAGTGCTAATGCTCCTGCCCACTAGTATAGAGGCCTCTTTCTGACCAACTTCCCCAGAGGTAAACTGTGGAAATTATTAGATTATTTGCACCTGCATTCAGGATTTGGGGGTGAAAGGAACTAACAGCAAAGACAAATGTTTTGTTTTTAAATAATCATTGCAAAACAAATCCCAAAGCACAGAAAGGTTCTAAAGCAAAAGCAGAAACATTTCAAAGTATAGGAAATACAACCTCATAACAAAATGCCTCAGCCATTCCATCTCACGTCACTTTTGACAAGGTAACACAACTCTTAACAACCTCCTTTCCACATGTCTCTTAACACCGTCAGACCAATAGGACTTCCTTCTGATCTAAGATGGCTCACAAAAGCTCATGACCACCACTTAGAACACATTCAACATGCCGAGCACACTTGAACCAGGGTAATAACCTCAGCAGTTTTTTGGATCTGCCATGCTGCACAAATAAAAAGACCAGCATGCATTGCTTTCTGCTAAACCTTTCAGATCAAACTTCCAGCACAAGATTTCTTCTCAAGCAGGATGAGGCAGGAAAATTCTGCAAATGGAAAGTGTTTAGGAGCTGAATAAGCAGAGGGAGATAATACTCAACATTAAACTATTTAAAGCTTTAAGTGCTTCTATGTAATCAGTGCATTGCTTAGAACACAAACTGAATTTGCTATCAGATTATTTTTGTAGAAAGTTATTCAAAGATGGAATTGTTCTACCACCCCCATAATTCAGGACCAGTGTATCAATCCTCATGTGCAAGACTACAAGAAATTCCAGTTCTAACTCGAGATCAAATTTCTTGCTGGGACAGAAAGAAAAACAAGATGGAATAAGCTCACCATTCTCATGAATGGAGGAAGCAGACACCTGCCCTCCTTCTGTCAGTATCCTAATGCATTCAAGTTTATCCAATATATAAGCCTCACAGCTGACATAGCATTAGAAAGCCACAATTAAACAGAAAATCCCACAACCTGAAACTCTAACCATAATAGCCAATGACCATTCATAATCATTCTTGTAACAAATCATTAGGAACTGCATCACTTCTGCATTTCCTGACTTCTCAGTTTGACAACTCATAATGTTTCAGTACAGACTTCACACTTAATAAACGTATAATCACTCATCTGCCATATTATTCTAGAAAAGCAATTTAAAATTTTGATTATGACTAGACGACTTGATTACTCAGTAGTTAATATGTCAGAGATTGGGTTACTCACAACAACAAACGAATCTGAATTGCTGAAGGCTGTACCTTGATAGGTTTATTAAGATCACCACCACAGAACGTCTGCAAGGGAACGCTGAACCTCCTCCAGCATGGACTTAAGTTGTTCTTAATGACCTTAAAAAAATTACAGCATAACATCACGTGAGAGATGTGATATGCAAGTTAGTAAGAAACATAACATGAGGGTTCTGTACTTCTGTGGGACTATGTGGAACAGCCTGAGTCACTTCTACCCTTACGTGAGCAAAGAGAAGCTCTGTTAGAAGCCTGAAGTTCAGACCTGGGTACAACTGCAGAGCCATGCCAATCTCACAGCTCGTTGCCACTAAAAGGCAGAAGAGTCCTGCCACTCTTCCCTCAGTACACGGTTGGACTTGTGTTTAACTCTGATTAGGCAGGAAGTTAACCATTTTCTGCCAGGTAGTCAGTGAGCAGAATCCCTTTCTGGGGGGAAGTTTCACTGCAGAAGTGGAGCACAGCATCACCAGAAGTGAGACACTCTAAGCTGTCAGACAAACTTAACAAGAAGCAAATCAGTGTAGAAATGCTACCTCTGATCTGTACACCAGCTGCCACATTCCAGCATCACTCTGCTTGTACAACTCCAGAAATGGATCCGATTTACCTAAGAAATCCTGCAAACAAAATCCAAATAGACCTTCATCAGACCTCTGTATTATCCTTGGATGAGAGAAGAGTTAGGTAATCAGTAACAAATGACAGAGTCAAATAAGCTACACATTTCCTTACCTCTTTTAAACTGCAGCACTTTACAGATCATCACAGCATACCAGCTCTGATTACAAGACTGTGCTTCCTTAGAGCATTTTGTTACTATAAATCACCCTTGGCTTAAAATAACACCAAGGCAGCATATCTAAATTTCCACTTTTTCTTCTTTTATAACATTACAAAAAGTCCAGTTCGTGGCACAGTTACAATATTCAATCGAAACAATTATTTAATGTATTAAAGTATAGAATATTCCAAAACCAAAATAATTACCCATAACCTAAACTTGGTGGTTGAATCTCTTATCTGCTATTGTGCTTTTTGCCGTGTAATTACGTCTCCACTACTGGCAACAGAAGATTGGGCCTTTTTATATGTGGATTACAGAGCTTAGCTGAACGTCTGCAGTACAGTGAGAGTCCTGGCCAAAGGCACTCACTGCCAATATAGTCAAGACCCACGCAAGCATGCAATATCATTAAAGAATAAATGAATCATACCTTTTTGTCCAAGTTTCGGGCTTGAATTTCCAAATTGACAACTCTGGTATCTTTAATCTCCTCTGCTGTAATCTGTGCCACAAATTAAAAAAAAAAAAGAAATTACAGAATTTTGCATATGTTTTATGCATGAAAAAACCTCTATGTATGGTTACAAATACATACTCTTCCTCCACACATACCGAATTTGAAAACAGAAAGAAACAAAACCAGAAGTGTTACTCTGTCCCAGATCTTGTAATTCTTTTTTCCACACACTCTCCTTTACCGTAATGGTGCCTTTTCCTGCTGGCTTCCCCTCCTTTAGTTCCAGAGGTCGGGTAAACACTGAGCTGGACACAATCTGAGATTAAAAGACAGATAATGTAATATCAAGGTAGAGAAAAATCATTATTATTAAAGAATTATTAAGAATCAAAGAACTATTCTGCAGGAGGAATTATTTTTAAAATTCTGCTAAGGAAAACCAATTTCCTACAGTGACAGCTACGAGTTTGTGCTCCTGAAATGGTTAGGCAGTCTTAAAGTTTTCCCTCTCCACAAAGCAATTCCCACTAACACACCTCAAAACTTAACACTAGCCTCCTGTTGCTGCTTCCCCCAAGACCCACGAGACATTTTCATTACAAGCAGCCAAACAACCTTTGAAAGTCTATTTATTTATATATGCCTACTTATTTAACCAAATCCTTCACAATCTCAAACCCCATCCTTCCCCTTCTATCTAAAAATACGAATTGTTGTTCAGGAAATGAATGCAGCTTTTCAGGCAATCTTCCCTGAATTTATGGCCTGAGGATTTTTTTGCCCCAAGGAAAACCAAGAGGCTACTAGAGCTCTCCAGGGTCTTCCTCATTCCCAGGTTCCTGCTAGTTCTGCAAGTGCTCCTACACGAAGCAATGAAAAAGGCTGAGAGCTCTGGGGCTGTTCAGCCTGGGGAAGAGAAGGCTGAGTGGGGATCTGGTCAATGTTTAGCAATATCCATAAGATGGGAGGCAAGCAATGGGGCCAAGCTCTGCTCAGCAGTGCTCAGAGACAGGACAAGGAGCAATGGGCACAAACTGGAACACGAGAAGTTCCATCTGAACATGAGGAAGAACTTCTCTGCAGTGAGAGTGCCCGAGCCCTGGCACAGGCTGTGCAGAGAGGTGCTGGGTTCTCCCAATAACCCAACCATCTGGATGCCTTCCTGTGTGACCTGCTGTAGGGAACCTGGCTGGTGAGGGGGTTGGATTAAACCAACCCGTTAGTTTTATTGCTTTGTTGCTCTCTTTATGTTTTAATAAAAATATTTTAAAATAAATTTTTATATATTAACAATATGATGGCCCAATTCCTCTCCACTCAGTGAAGCCCAGGAAAGCCCAAAGGCTGGACACCTACGGACTGAACCATTTCCAGAATTTCCTTCCCATCACCACAATTCCAGGACTCACAGACCACACGCACTCTTAACCTTCACTGTCTGCTCACCATCAGAGTTCTTCCAGTTATATTCAACAGGGACAAGCACGGATGTGTTTTGGGAGCTAACAAAGAAGAGCTTAAAACACTGCAGCCTCTAAGAAGGCAGCCTCAGCCCTCACACCTGTCCCAGCGTGCACTCCATGCCCCCGAGGAAGTCGTCGTCGCTGAGCTCAGCAGACTTGTTGTCGATGTCGTACACGCCGAACCTCAGCTTCTGCACCTTCTCGAAGTAGTAGTCAACCAGCAGCTTCTTGGAGAACTCCGGGTCCTGGCAGTTCTTAATCCTCTCCGTGCGATCTAACTGCTCGGACACAGGGACAAATTCAAGAAGAGCTTGGATGAAAGCCGAGGGAGGCGGCAGGGAACGGGCAAGGCGGCGCCTCGCCGAGCCCGCGGCTCAGGGCAGCGCCGGGCACCGAGCGGCCTCACCTCAGCCCAGCGGCCTCCCGCGTCCAGCAGCAGGACGCACAGCGGGTCCGACTTGGAGCCGACGTCGCGGTCGAGGAGGCGGCGGCAGGTCACGGACAGCTGCACCCGGCTCACGCACTGCGCCATCTGCGGGCAGAAGCGCGGAAGGGGTCACGGCCCGGCCGCTCCCGGCCCCGCAGGCACGGCGGCGGCTCGGCCCGGGGGCGGATCCCGGCTCCCCGCGCCCGCTCCGCCCGGCTCTCCGCCCCGCGGCCGCGGCCCCCAACGCGAGGCACGGCCCGATCCTCCCGCCGGCCCGAGCCCCGACAAGATGGAGGCCGGCCGGCCGTGCGGCGCGGGGCCGTTCTCGCTGCCGGCCGCGGCCCGGGAAGGGCCGAGGAAGCGCTGCTCTCAGCGCCGGGCGCGCCTCTCCCCCGGGCCTCGCGTCCGCTGTTCGGAAAACGACGGCGGCTTTCGGCCCTGCGTGCGGCGCTGGCGGATCCTCCCTCCCTGCCCCGCACCGCGGCTCCGTCGAGGAGCGGCCGCAGGTCTGTAACCGGACCCGAACCAGGAGATGAGCCCTGACGCGTTGAAATAAAGGACTGGGCAGCCTGAAAGTCTAAGCAGTGCTTTAACGTTTATTTCCTAGAGAAGCTACTTCAGCGCTATTAGGAAAACCAGGAGAGTTGTTCAGTCGTTCTGGTGCCGACTCTCCGTGGCTTTCTCGTGCTCGCTGGGTGTAAATACCAGTAATCTGAATGACGAGATGAACTTTTACGGGGCGACGTTTAACCCCACGCGCAGCTCCCACCCCGCAGCCCGCCTGGACAGATGTCACCCACGTCACTTAATGCACTACAGATGCTGTCACGATGGCAGCAGGACAAAAACAGCGTGCAGAAAGAATTAGCGAAGCTTTAGACAAAGAGGATCACGGTTCGGCTTTCTGAGGTCGCCATCATCTGCTTTAACGCACCCTCCTCACAGAGGCTCGCCCGAACACTCAGCACTTGCTCTAATGATCGGTTCAAGCCCCGGGCTTCCACTTCAGCTGCACCCAACCCCAGGTAAGATTCACAAAAGAGATGCCATCGTTACCTTTATTAAGTACTGTATTTTTTCCTGAAATTGCAACCATCACAAGTATTAGTTTTTCCTTTCCTTACATGTATCATTCCACCAGACCACCTCATTTAGCCAGCAGCACCACATCTGTGCAGCCTGCAGGTCTACAAACAGCTCTACACGTGCACACAAAACAAAGACCAGCTCAGCCAGCCTCGACTCTTGAGCCAACATTTCTCCCTATTTTCTCTGTTGCAGCACATTTCTGCAGCAAAGGGGACACCTTCCTGTCCTGGTACAGCGTAACAGATCAGGAAACAAGTTTAAAACCTCAACGAAATGTCTCCCACTATACTTCCAGCATTGCCAAACAACAGCTGTCCTTTTCAGGCAGGAAACAGTACCATAGGTCCATGCACATGGAATGAGTCCCTAACTGTTCACATTACAGAGACTAAAAAGGAAAGACGAAAGCTTGCAGTAGAAACTGTTAATCCACACAGCGAAGCCAAGGTAAAGTGAAGCAACAGATCTGAAGCCAGATCACCTCTCACCTGCTACCTCTTCCCCAGATCAGTGGCAATGAAACTATGAAATCACTGTTTCAAAGACTTGTATTTCAATAGCAACTCACAGTCTCATGCTACTGTTCAAGATGTGGTAATAGCATTAAGGTTTCCCTTGCAACACAACACAGCTGGACCGTTTCTAAAAGAAACTACAGACCACAAAGGACACTTTTTTGTTAGGTCTTCCTTCTCTGGAGATCGCAGGACACCAGGTAATGCACCTTACGGGAAGGGTGGATCCTTAACAGTCAGATAAAATATTCACGCTTCATCTGAAAACATCACTTTGAACCTCAGCCAGCATTTGTTTATGTGTTGCTGCCTACAAATATCCTCCAGAAGCTCACACTAGGCCTTCTCACTTCACAGCTTTTCAAATACACTGTATGGTGTTCTCCAGTTTCAATCCGTTCCTTTAATAAGTACAGCAGAAAAATCAGGACCATGAATGAGTCTACACATCTCAGCAGCAAGAGCAAGGAGTAGCTGGTTGCTTCAGAGAACCCACTTCAGTCCAGACCAGAGATCTGCTTGGCCTCTATCTAGGTGAACACTTAACTCATTTATCCTGCTCACTGTTAGCAGAGTGCAAATCTCGAGACCTGCCTGCACTGAAAAGCTTTTTACAAAACAATAACAACCAGAACCTTAACACATTAATTCCCAAACACACACAACAATACTGAATGGGAAAAAGAATTGCGGAACTCCTTAGTGGTTGGGAATACCAGCCCCCAACTTCAACTGCTGGTCACTTTTAAAGAGGGGTTAATGGTAACTGGTGGATCACATATTCTTTTTCCTCCTAAAACAGACTTTTTTAAAAATTTACTTCCATTCCATTAGTAATTATCTCTCTTCATAAAATAAACTGATTTATGTGAAACACATCTTTTGATTTTAATCTCCACTCCTCTTCCATACAGGCTCTGCTCACCCCTGAGCAGTGAGCCATCCTGAAATCTGGAAGACTCTGACAGTCAACACCTGTGCTTAACACCACGTCTCATACAGCCTCCCACCCTTTAAGGATAAGAAAGTCTGCAGTACTTTCTCTTAAGTCTCCATGCCCTGCACTTCTGCACAACCCTACGTTACCTTCATACAACATCAACTTCTGTGACAACTACCCAATTGGCATTTACCAGCTTACTTCCAAGGAGTAAGTACTGCCCTGGCACCGTGGTTTTAAGAAACATGGACTAAGGAGAACTGCTTTATCTCTTAGCAATGCAGCATAACAGATACATGACATAAATAGATTCCAGTCATCACTATGCTCAATGAGACAGATCTGATCCCAGGCTAATTAGCATAATTAAACTGAAAGAACTTAGGGTTTGTTTTTGTATTATTAATAGCCCTGCTTTTTCCTTTATGAGCACTCAAAGAACAGTACACAATCCCATTTACCTTGCAGATTTCAAGTCAACACTGCAAAAACAATTTTCACGTTGCTTCACTGAGTTTTCATAGAGCACAGCTATGTTTATATATCCACCCATACACACATATATTTAGCTTTTACAATTCCATTAATTCACCTTTACTATGACAGAATATTGTTTACATTTGTTGCAACACCCAAAAATCTTCTGTTTTTCAACTGTTACAGAAATTCTGAAACTCACTGATTTCTTATTTTCCCCTCACAACATCCCTAGGTGACTAATACTGACATCTATTATTTGAAACTGTTTACAGAAGATGAAGTATATTTCCAAAATGAAAACAACAGCAAAAACAAAATGCTTTCCATACCGGTATGAAAAACACATTCAACTTCGAAAGCATTTATTAGAAAATGATCCTTAACAGTTTGCAACAACCATTTACCAAAGTCCTTCTGACTTACTTGCCACCAGGAGATTAAGATACAGCATGCTCTGGGAGTCACAAAACTATTGTAGCTGCAGATATCCAGTTTGCCAAATAGAAATAAAACCCAAACAGACATATTCAACTTCTATTTAGGATACATAAAACAGAGCTACTGGGTGCACCACAGCTAAGGAGGTTCAGAACAAAGGCAACATACGCAAGCCACAAGGTCAGTGCAGCTGTTAGAAGTAGCCTGTACAATCACAAGAGATGTTATGCTACCCAACCAAGATCCACAGCTTGTATTGACAATAGCTGCATACATTTATTCCAATGCTCTCACAGCTCAGGGATCTCGCTGTTCAGAAGCACTGCCTGGGAAGTTTCATCTTGAGCTGATTTCTGCACGTTCTGAAGGAAGAGCTTCCAGCACTCAGCTTTAGGTCTGTCAGGCACCTACGCTTTGGCCTTTATTTAGGACTGCACATAATGTAACTTCACATTTTGAGGAAAAATACATCACTTGTGTTATTCTTATGAACTTGAGAGCAGGATACAATGCACAGAAGTCTATGCAAGATCCCACACATGTACTCCAGTGATGCTCCAGACAAGTCTTTCAATGCTCAACCAGAAGTCATTCCAGTTATTCAAGTAAAATGCAGACTGGCTCTGGACTCAAAGAAACATGCCTTAAGAACTGCTCAGACAACCAAACACAGGTCCAACTTAAAAATGCCAAAATGATTTTAAGGCTTGCTGTGCATACCACCTCTTCACTGCGAAGATGATCACGTACTCCAAGAGCCGTACAGTACACACAGAAGTATACTTTCCATTTCATAGTTCCAGAGCTGTCCAATATAAACAAAAATCAACTCCATAGATAAGTAATAGTAACATACTTCCCTAACTGTCACTCTAATGATTCTACTTGCTTACCAAAGCATAAGAGGAAATCAAAAGTGAAATAAGAAACCAATGCCTACCTATGTTTAAAGAAAGCTTCAGAAAAAGAGCACTGTCCGAATTCACAGCCTCAAGGGGTCTCACATTTCCCCAAAACGTCGCACTGGTGTTTGAAGCACGAACTCCCCTGTACTTATCCTCCCGCAATAGCAGTGCTGTCATTTGGGAGAGCCAGACATGGCATCTTTTGGAGAGAAATGCCAATATTAACACAGAATCCAGTCATGGGTCAGCTTGGTTTTAACTACTCCACATAGGTAATAATATATAGGTTGCTCTGAAAGTAATGTCTCCTACTTATTTCCACGGAAACTACAGATATAAAGAACACAATAACACTATTTGATAAAGGTCGCACAAGTAGTTGTCCAGGTGTCCATAGAAGGAGACTCCACCACCTCCCTGTGCAGCCTGTTCCAGTGCTCCTCACCTCACCTGAAGAAGTTCTTGCACACATTTGTGCAGCACTTCCTATGCTGCAGTTTCTGGCCGTTTCCCCTTGTCCTGTCTCTGAAAACAGCCTGGCCTCACCACTCTGCCCCCCACACCTTAAATATTTATAGACCTGGATCAGGTCCCCTCTCAGTCTTCTTTTCTCAAGGCTAAACAGACCCGATTCACCCAGCCTTTCTTCACAGGGGAGATGCAACACCATTAGCTAAGCATTTTTGCCAGCAATGAACAAGAGCATGCCATGCTCATAAAAATCTGCACGACTGTCTG